CATGAGCGGTCGCCATTTTGGTAAAGCAACTTCTTGCCTTCTTCTGCTTTACCCCGTTCTAGGCATATGTAAGAACATTCTCTTTGGTAACTTATCCTTACAGAGGGACTGAAATTATTATATTTCTCCCTCTCCAGTCAAAAGGTACTTCTAGGCTGCACGTGCCTGACCTTCCCTCGATTCGATCCAGTGCATTTTACAGTGTCCATTTTACAGTACCTGATGTTGTCGTATTGTAGCTTACCAAGGCAGAAGTGATGGGGGGTGGGAGCACCTCCTCCGGCCCTGCCCGTCTCCTTGCCACCTGTTCAAGGGCGCCCAGGCACGTGGAGAAGCTTGTCTCGCGATCCGGGAATAGATTCAAGGTTGGGGGCAGGGCGGGGGGGCGGGAGGGTGGGCAGGGCGGCGCGGGTGTTAGGAGAGCTTCCCTGTGGTAATGGAGCATCAGTGCCAACTTATGAGGACCCTCCGGCTGTGGAGACGACGACGACGACGCGTTGCGACGACGCCCGCGGTGCGCGGCACTGTTCAAATACCGCGAAATTGTAAATCGATCGCGCCGTTGCTCCGACGAGGCGGACGAATTCGATATTCGCCATAGCGCGCGCGCGCGCGCACGTCGCCGCCAGGCCTGAAGGGATGATGCAAATTATTGCGAGCGCCTGCACCGGGGTATATTATTAATATATTAATGACTCCATTTTTCCGGGCTAGCCGCTCGGCCGGGCGCGGCAGACCAGACGGCGCGCTCGTTAGCTGCTGCTGCAGCCGGGAATAATTAATGCCGTCCGACACCAGAGTGAGACGAGCCGGAGGGGCGTGACGGCAAAGTGACCCGAGCGTATTGTGAGCAGTGGACGCGGCCAGGCGCGATGGGACGAGGTGGCGGCGGGTGGTGAGAGTCCCCGCGCCCCGCCTATATAGACAAACAAGGAGGAAAAGTGGTGATTGTTGTCGCCGTGCTACTCGGGGCCCTCCGGGCCCTCCTCGGGGCCTACACACTATGGCTGCCCACCACGGCGAAGATGGGAGGAGGGCACAAGGAGACCGCGACAAAAGGCAGGCGCGAGGAGGAGGCCACCCCGTCATTCTGTGTGGCTCGCTGATGAGGTCAATCCGAGCGGAAACAGAAAGCGGGCGGCGGCTGCTGTCGCGTGAGCAGAAAGAGAGAGCGATAGCGACTGTTGTTGTTGTTGTTGCTGTTGGGAGAAGGACGGAGAGGGCGCGATCAGTGCGGAGCCAAAGGAGGCAGTCAGGGCCTCTATCGCTGATTGCCACCCGCTTCCTTTTTTCCAAATGAAGGAAAAGTGTCTCGCACGCCTCGTGGAGTTGTGGGTAGAACGACGGGCGCCGGGAGCCACGTCCTTGCGAGAGGCGCCGGGCTTTCGTATCAGCATTGTTGCCATCACATTAAACACGCATTTGAAATAATTCTACAAGGCTCTAGAGTCTAATATTCATCACTTAATTTTGATTTGTAGAAAAATAGGCACGCGCGCTGGCTATGACTCACCTCATGATTTTCATAACAACAATAAGGAGAGCAGGACACCAAGCACCAAGGTGATTTAAGGGAGCAGAGCATGGTTTTCTGAGAAAGAAATGTTACAAACAAATTTTGTTCGCAGTCTAGCACGAGTCTTCTGCTCCTTTTACTATCGTTTTGTCCTCGACGAAAGTTGTATATATTTACACGAAGAGGAATGTCTTCCTTCTTCCGCCGCCAGGCGTTCGCCACGCGCCGCCGCCTGCAGAGGCAGACCGACATTAGGAGACTCAAAAGAGAGACTCCGGCCCGCCGCTCCAGCTCGGGCGGGGCCCGCTACCGCAGACCGACAAGCGTGCAGCAAAAGACGCTCGCCTCGAGAAAGAGCGAGGAGCACAAAAGGATGTGTAACCAAAACTGCCGGCGCTATGGCGCAGCTGTTCCTGCTCCTGCTGCTTGTGCTTTCGCCAAAAAACGAAAATTACCTCCCCTTTGTCTTGAGGTGGCCAGAAATTCAACAGAAACATTGATCTTAGAACTCTCCTTTCTTCTAACCGCTACTATACTATACTGTGTGGGTCGACATCCTCTTCCTCGGAACACGGTGAATTGAAAATTCCCAGCCTAGCCAACAAAGCCGCAGGACTACAACTAGTTTTGTAATTTGGCGTCGGCAACATGCACTGAGTCTCGCACGTCACACGCACTACCCCCCCCTCTCTCTCTCTCTCTCTCTCTCTCTCTCTCTCTCTCTCTCTCTCTCTCTCTTGCTGTCTCGCTCTTCCCCTCCTTCTCTGTCGCACGCGCGCAAACTCACCGTCTTTGTCACTGTCCGCGGCCGTCGGTTTCTGCCCCCCCCCCTCCTCCCCTGGGAGGGAATTCAGTTTGCCCTGATAATGCCGTATACAAAGTTTTGTCGTGCATCCCTTGCCTCTCCTTTTCTCTCCCAGACCTCTATCTCGCTCTCCATCTCCCCGCTTTACTATTCGCAACAACATTGCGTTTCAGCCTTGGTTCCAGCTCACACAAAGGGATGCTGCAGGTAGTCTCCATCTCCTCATTGCAAACTAACCGAGATAATGATCTCCCGTAAACTACTGTACGAAGAGGAAAAGCTGTTCCAAGGAGTCTTTTTTTTTCTCCTCATTTCATTAGTAAATTCTGTGAACGCCTGCTGTGAAGGCTCACCCCTAGTTTGATTAGCAATACAACGGGTGATTTTGAATTTGGCGCCACACCCGCCACTCGTGTCCCACGTGCCCAGGACGACGGGAGCCAGGTGGCGGCTACGTTCCAGTTAGCTCCACTGGCCAATACGTTATCTTTGGCGGGGCAGGGGCCCGTGAACTATCAACTATCGGGTGGTACTGATCGCCGCCCAAGTGGGGCCCGCCCCTCACTCCAGTGGCTCCAGTAGTGGCGGGCAGAGTGGCCAACGCACCGTGTGTTGTCAGAGATAACAGAGTGACCGGGCCCGGCCAGCCCGGCCCATCGACCTGGGAGGGGAGTGGAGAACAGGCCTGAAGCCCAACCCTAACACGGCTCTCACCACGCGCCAGGTACTGCACTGCAGAAAATCGGCCCGAAAACGAATCGTCAACGAAACTGTGACGGTCGCCAATGTAAATAAAAAATGCTTTTGTCAATCACTTTTTACAATTTATAGTTAACAACCAATTCTAATTCCTACCGTAAACTTGTGAAGCCTAACCCTAAGATTTTGTGGAAAATCTTACCGTAGAACAAATGGTGGACTCTTTTTCGTTCGCTCCCACCGACCCTTCTTTAGGCAAGCCCCCCCCCCC